AATATGGACATACCATAATTCATTTAAATAGTTTTAAATTTATGGACGTTAAGGTCATTTTCTAATTTTTGCTGCTACAATGAATAGTGAAATGAATAAACTGGTATAATATAATATATTCTTAAATGTGCTTTTATTATGTCAAGGGCATGGATGATTTTCCCCCAGTAAAATACAGATGCAATTTAATATGACAAACCATATTTATTTAATAAAAATGTATCGTCAAAAACATTGTTGTCATATGTATTGGATTCATAGGGTATACTTTATAAGAAAATGCTAGTTATTATAGCTAGTCATAGCAGTTTTCAGAAACAGATCATGTAAATACTGAAAATACATGTTTCTGAAAACAGATCATGTAAATACTGAGTGACTTTCAGCCTTACTTGTCCCAGGACGGCCAAAACTAAGTGTGTTCACTGAAAGCACTAACGGCAGGGGGCACAGAACGAGGCACAACTGCTCGGCTGATTTAAGAAGCTCTGAAGGTCGAATCAGGAAGCCTGGATCTCATTCCTCATCCTGCCACAGTGAGCCTTTCAATAAAATGGGAATGGTGATTCCTGCCCTACGGACCCGACAAAGTGGTTCCGAGGATAAAATGGGAAATGATTCACATATGTGTTTAACACGAAACGTGAAATCTCATGTTATTCCTTTGTTGCCACAGAGCCGTGGGTGAAGGTCAGTAGATAATCTATCTATGGAATAAGTTCTAAATGCATTTCATAGAAGAAATGACACCAGACTTGTCATTTTAATTAAATGCACCAAATGGCGGCCCATATAGAGCAGAATGTTTTTAAACCCAACTAAGTAAAGAACCAGCGGGGACATGGATCACTACTCCTGACCATCACAACTTTGAGTAAAGAACCAGCGGGGACACGGATCACTGCTCCTGACCATCACAACTTTAACTAAGTAAAGAACCAGCGGGGACACGGATCACTGCTCCTAACCATCACAACTTTAACAGAGTAAAGAACCAGCGGGGACACGGATCACTGCTCCTGACCACCACAACTTTAACTGAGTAAAGAACCAGCGGGGACACGGATCACTGCTCCTGACCACCACAACTTTAACTGAGTAAAGAACCAGCGGGGACACGGATCACTGCTCCTGACCATCACAACTTTAACTGAGTAAAGAACCAGCGGGGACACGGATCACTGCTCCTGACCATCACAACTTTAACTGAGTAAAGAACCAGCGGGGACACGGATCACTACTCCTGACCATCACAACTTTAACTGAGTAAAGAACCAGCGGGGACACGGATCACTACTCCTGACCATCACAACTTTAACTGAGTAAAGAACCAGCGGGGACACGGATCACTACTCCTGACCATCACAACTTTAACTGAGTAAAGAACCAGCGGGGACATGGATCACTGCTCCTGATCATCACAACTTTAACTGAGTAAAGAACCAGCGGGGACACGGATCACTGCTCCTGACCATCACAACTTTAACTGAGTAAAGAACCAGCGGGGACACGGATCACTGCTCCTGACCATCACAACTTTAACTGAGTAAAGAACCAGCGGGGACACGGATCAGTACTCCTGACCATCACAACTTTAACTAAGTAAAGAACCAGCGGGGACACGGATCACTGCTCCTGATCATCACAACTTTAACTGAGTAAAGAACCAGCGGGGACACGGATCACTGCTCCTGACCATCACAACTTTAATTAAGTAAAGAACCAGCGGGGACACGGATCACTGCTCCTGATCATCACAACTTTAACTAAGTAAAGAACCAGCGGGGACACGGATCACTGCTCCTGACCACCACAACTTTAACTGAGTAAAGAACCAGCGGGGACACGGATCACTGCTCCTGACCATCACAACTTTAACTGAGTAAAGAACCAGCGGGGACACGGATCACTGCTCCTGACCATCACAACTTTAACTGAGTAAAGAACCAGCGGGAACACGGATCACTGCTCCTGACCATCACAACTTTAACTGAGTAAAGAACCAGCGGGGACACGGATCACTGCTCCTGACCATCACAACTTTAACTGAGTAAAGAACCAGCGGGGACACGGATCACTGCTCCTGACCATCACAACTTTAACTGAGTAAAGAACCAGCGGGGACACGGATCACTGCTCCTGACCATCACAACTTTAACTGAGTAAAGAACCAGCGGGGACACGGATCAGTACTCCTGACCATCACAACTTTAACTGAGTAAAGAACCAGCGGGGACACGGATCACTGCTCCTGACCATCACAACTTTAACTGAGTAAAGAACCAGCGGGGACACGGATCACTACTCCTGATCATCACAACTTTAACTGAGTAAAGAACCAGCGGGGACACGGATCAATACTCCTAACCATCACAACTTTAACTGAGTAAAGAACCAGCGGGGACACGGATCCCTGCTCCTGACCATCACAATGTTTTTTTCTTTTTTTTTGCTTCCTCACTACCTCCCGTCTCATCTACAGTTATTAAAATCAAGTTTACTGCTAACAGTCGTGACAGAGAGAAATCTGGAAACCACCCAAATCTGAGGGGCAGGTAATCTATTTTTGCCAGTTAATACTGTGTTAGTATTCTTGGGTATGCAGGTAACACCATCTCTCTGGATTCACTTGGAAATGATCAATAAAACAAACAGGAAAACAAAATTTAACTACTCAGCACCTGAAATGCTGATGTGTCTGGAGTTGAGAAATATTAGGACACCTGCTCATTTCACTCATTAAAATCTTTAAGATGGGCCCTTACCAAAGTAAACAGGTGACCACCCCCCACATCCCCACTCTTCTCAGTGAAGCCATTAGAGTTTCCGGTCCCTCTTTTCTAGTCACTGACTCCATAGCAATGGTCCACTGACCTGCCCTTAAGGGAAACAGAATCTCTGGCAAGGGTGAGACTTTTAATAATTCCACTTGTCAACACAGGTCAGAGAGAAATAGATGGATTCCTACCAAGTAACTTAACAAACCTACTAACAAAATGAGTAGCCTCCAGCAAGTGACCAGGTCCAGTGTCCACAGCACCCCTTGGGACAACCAAAAGTCACATCATTAGTGTCCAAGAAAATCCACACCACTGACACCTGTCCATCAAACTGCTCAGAGAGTTTGGGTGTCTCGCTGCAATATTTTCTTGATTTACCTTTTCCCCAAAAGGCCAGTGTGTATTGGGTGGCTCATTCAAAGTGATTATTAATTGGATTATTAATTTCCTCCACAACTTATTTTTTACAAATAAATACAAAAATATCTGCAGAAGATGGCATATTTTGATGTACAAGTTTCCTGATAGGAATATTGTCCAGAAATATCAGTTCTGTTGACCAAACTTCCCTCTCGGGGGAGGTCAAGGATCTAGTAAGATCATTTTCAATACCAAGGATCTCAACTCAGTCCTCCACTGAAGAGACAGTCCCTGCTCACCTCTTTTCCTTGAGATGTTCTAGTATGCAGCCTGCTGTTGCTAACAGATTGCCCTTTTGGTGGCTTTGCTCTCTGATTTAGGAATATAAACACTGCTTCAGAGATTTATTTTACAATTCATCTTCTGATTTGTCATGGCCGGGAAGGTCGGCTTTCATATTTTCTATTCTAAATTACTTTGGAACAGATTTTGCCAACAGACAAAGGAATGGCATTTGTGTGGACCGGAACAAACTCTGAAAGTTGGGGCTCCAGTCCTATCCCTCTTTTGTTAAAATGTAAACAATCAGAAACCCCACAATTTCCCAAATCAGTTATTTGGAAAAGAATAAACAGGTGCTTTGGAGACACTGGAGTTAGGAAAAGAAACTGGCAAATTATGTTTTCACGGGCCCAGCTGCTACACTGATGTGGGTCTGCAGAAGGTTCTCCTAGGATCTGAAACTCAGTCAGCAAATCAATTGAGACCATCCCTGTCTCTGCCAGCGGGACCATGGTACCATTCACCCTCCTCCCATCTCAGGGCTTTCTGATGAAGCCCCTCTGCCAATGCCAGTGCCAAATCCATCAGCTCAAGGCTCCTTTGCTTCCCACTGACACTGGCTGACAGGAAGCCCGTTCCGGTTTAACCAGGATTAGCGACCTCTGGAAGGAGCAGTGTGATGGGACTGCACCTCCTATCTGCTTATTTCTATCTGTCCCAGCCCTAGCATGCCTAAGAAGCCGGGCTCAGCACAGACTCCACAGGGGCCGAATGGCATGGCTGGCTGTCACTTTGTTTCAGTGGGAAACAGATAGGACCAGGCAAAGCAGATGGTCCCTCAAGGGGCACATCCCAAAAATCTGCTACCAAACTCTGGTGGTGGCTTTCAAACAAACAGCTACTTACTGGATAGGAAAATCAGATCTCCCTGGCCACCTCCTGCCACAATCCCCCCTGCCTGCATACTTGGCCACGTAGGAGATTTTAATCCTCGGCGAGACATAATAACTTTGTCTGGGGCAAAGGACAGCTTGTCTTTCTTAGCTTCCCAGAGATAGCCACGTTCCCGTATCTGTCAGTGAAATGCTCCCATATTCATCAGTGAAACCTGTTATCTAGGTAAGACCACCTTCAGGAGACCTGATCCGTAAATCACAGGCAGTCAGCCAGTCCTAAGAGAAGCAAATATAAATACCACGTATCTGGCCAGCTGGGTGGAATTAAAGATGGAGCCAGTGTCACTTCAAATGGCAAGTGAAAACATGTTTCATCATAACACATTGATGGAGGGTTTTTTTTTCCTTTCAAACTCCAAATGAACCCACCCATGACTGTTGGTAGAAGCCCTGGCTCAGACTGTATAAATTTGAGCAAATCATCGAACATTTCTGGGCTTCATCTGTAAAATGAGGAGGCTGAGCTGGAAGATTTCTAAGGTCCCTTTGGCACTAAAATTCTAGAGTTCTTTGGGTGGGGGTGGGTCTCCTCTAACGTTTCAGCAAACCGCATTGCTAGTTAACCTGCCTGTTGACTGAGCCTGGACTAAATCAAGAGGCTGTTTCCTCACGCGCAGCTCACCTTTTCCACCGCCGTGTGTTCCTCGTGTGTGACGTTTGTTTTTCTTGGTTCGTTTTTAGACCTGCTCAGCCTTCTGGATACTTTTTCTCTGAGTAGGGTGGCATATCCAATGTGTTCATAGATGGGGTTAGTTGTCATTTTTGAAATGTATTCGGCAGCTTTTGTTTCTATGTACAGTGTTATCAAGCCATCTGTCACTAGATCGTGAATCGACTCAAACCTCTTCTCACCCACGAAGTGTTTCCCGTCATGGAAGAGCCTGTAGTTTAAGGTCTGGTTTCCAAACCTGCCCACGAGACAAGGAGGGATTACAACCACGTTAGAAACAGGCACAGTGTGGAGTGATAACACCAGCTAACAGTTTTGGAATACTTCTTGTATGCCGGGCACAGGACTAAGCCCTTGATGTGATTTTCTTCCCCCTGATGATCACAGAGACCCTTTGAGACGGCCCAGCGGTTATGCCTGCTTTACTGTGGAGGTGACTCAGGCTTGAAGAGATGGGGTTCCTGCTTGAGTTTACATGCCTGGGATGAGGCAGGGGTGGGGCTTCAATCCAGGCCGTCACATGGAGTCGTTTGATCCCAGAAATCACTAAGGGCATTGTTAGCATCCTTCGTTTGTAACAGGCAGAGGATAATGCCTGATTTACAACTATGTTACTTGTACATTTACTTAATGCGAACCAGCTCTCCCCGAAACCTGGCAATTACCTCTGCAAGGAATGCTCTGTCCCTGGTTCTGATACCCCCTTGTCATCGCATCTCTACCACCCCTGCAGCACAGCACCCCATGCCTTCCACCCCAGTTGGTGCAGTGGAAGGGAAGCAATAAGGTGTGCTAAACTCCCTGATGGGGCCACTGCTAGTGTCCCCACAATCTAATCTACAGGGTCCCTCCTCTCTGGGCCCCGGCCTTCCATCTACAGCCCCTGCTTGATTCCCCACTAGAACCGCCAGCTTCTGCTGTTGAAGTGCTAGGAAGATAGGAAAGTGTGCTGTGTACCTAGAAGGCGTGATGTAGTAGCTGTTTAAGTTCATCCTCATAAGCACATTATTTAAGATATGTGGTCGACATACTACGACTTGGAAAGTGTCCATTGCACAGCCGTAATATGGAGATGGTGCATCGAACACACCATTGTGGGCCTGGGAAGTGCTTCCACGGACACCATTCCCTCTATGGAGAGAGGGCTTTCCAATTACGAAGAGTTCACAAACGAACTTTTGGAAGATAATTCGGTTCTGAAACTAGATACCTTCCCTGAAACGTACAGGGCGGCGGCGAGGATCAAATGACAGAAAATATTTGATCAAGGTTTGAAAAGTGCCATAAATGCAGTGTCTTTCTCGTGTTGTGATGTTTAATACTTGTGATTTTGTGGTAAAGGCTCAGTAGAGCCTGTTCTACTGGCTCGTTGGCCTGAAGGGTTGTGACTGCCCTCACGACAAGTTCCTGGGGTCAATAAGGTAATCCCTGAGAGAACCCCATGAGCAAATGCAGGTCTTGTGAGGTCTGTGTGAGCAAGGCCAGGTGAAGGAGCCCTTCCTTCGACATGGGCTGCTGGGAGCTGAGGCAGAGACCCTGCAGCCTCAGGCAGCTAGATGGTGCAGGCAGAGGTGGCTATAGAAACACCAGCTTTCCAGATGGTTCCCTGATTTACTGTGTGTCCATCATCAGAGCCCCAGTGTCCACGCCTACTGATAGCATCTGTGGCTGAGGAAATGTATGCAGCCTCTGATATACTGCGGGCGCTTCAGAAACAAGGGAAGATACCAAGTAAGGAGTATCTCCTGACATTACCCTCTGACTTTCACAAATCAGAAGGATGCTGACAATACCCGTAGTAATTTCTACGATCAAATGACTCCATGATTGTTTATGGTAGCGGGTTTCTGTTTGGGATGGTGAGGAAGTTCTGGAAATGGATTCGGAGATGTTTGCACAACACTGAAACATACTTAAGGCCGCTGAATTTTACACTTAAGAATGGTAAAAGTAGAAGTGTTCATGACTGTAATCCCAGAGCTCTGCGAGGCTGAGACAGGCAGATGGCTTGAGCCCAGGAGTTCAAGACCAGCCTGGGCAACATGGCGAGACTCCTTCTCTAAAAAACAAACAAACAAACAAACAAACAAAACTAGGCAGTCATGGTGGTGTGTGCCTGTGGTTCCAGCTACTCAGAAGGTTAAGGTGAGAGGCACTTGAGCCTGGCAGGCGGAGGCTGCAGTGAGCCGTGATGGTGCCGCTGCACTGCAGCCTGAGTGAGGGAGTGGGACCCCTTCTCATAAAATAAAAATGTGAAAAATGGTGAATTTCATGTTATACATATTCTACTACAATTCTTAAAAATGGGCAAATATCAGTGAAGCCACTTGTACAGCAACGAAAACAAGGAATGAAATGTGCCTCACCTGAGAGCCAGCGTGTAGCATCCTGGTTGCCGCTGGCTTTCTCTAAGGATGTAGGCACCCTCCACACCTCCGAGAAGCTCGTCCGCCTGCTCCCGGGAGATGATCCCGTGAAACCTGAAGGTGCGAGACCATCGTTGCTCTGAACAGACCACATACAGCATAAGGACCATAAAGAACTAGCTTTCAAAGGATGGCGGGGGCACCCAGAATCCACAGCCCACCCAGCGGGATGAAGAGGGCAGTGACTGCTGCATATCTCAAGTGATTTGAAACCACCCCTCACATGCGCCAAACACAAGTATTCAAACAGGCAAACCAAAGGAAGCATGCCCAGCCCACTTGGCTTTCTGCTATTGTCTTTGCCCTCAAGTTGAAAACGAAAGTTGAAACAAAAACCGAGGCTACATACCGCCCTCGCTTTTTTTTTAACCATGGGAAATAACAGAAAAGCAATTACCAATTTAGCTCTCAGCCCAGAGAACTGTGTGTTATCCTAATTGCAAGTGGACATTTATTGATTAGCAACCTGCTTGCTTCAGGTGCAAGATGGTGTTAATTTCAAGAGGCTCATTTTCTGGAAAGAGCTAGCTGTAATCAATAGTCTTCCGGTTCTTTACATTTTGAGAGTAGTAGCTTATGGATATCTTAGAAAAATGTACCTGCTTTTCTTTTTTAAAGATACATTTATCTTCTCTACCATTTTAAAACCCATACACATGCTTGTGGAAAATGTGGTGTATCTGGGAAGGTTGCATGCTTGCTTGGCCCATGATCACTCTGATGTGGAGGCAGTTGTCTGAGGCCCAGAGTGGACAGGGACTCCACGGAGGAAGAGGGAGAGTTGAGAGTTGGGTCAGGAACCAGCCCACTTTCCCTGTTGCCTTTAAGCAAAGACACCTGCTCCTCTCACACGACTGGAGGTTTGATCAATGAATATTTCATGAAGTGGGGCACATTTGGTTAGGGAGTTAGGTCAGTGACAAGGGACTCCATGCTTCTGGGAGAGGAGCAACAGCTCTTTCTAGGATTACCCAACCTTGGAGAACTTTGGAGAATACATCAGAGAATAAATTTTCTGGACAGAAAAACTCCTTTACTTTCTTGAAAAGAAGGAAAGGGAAGTCAGCTAGACAAGTTTTGTTTTGTTTTGTATTTTCCCCAGGAATGCAAAGATTAAGTTAGAATACAAATGTAGAAGGATAACATTTTTTAAAGTGCCTATCACAATATTTGTTTCTTAACTCCTTCTATCTGTAAAAAACAGGCCTTCCAGGCTGAAGCTTCTGTCCAAGGCAAGTGGGGTCAGAAGCAGCCTGTGGCTTTGTGTTTCAAACTCGGTTTTTAAAGGCTACGGCACTGACGTCCTGGGAGAAAAGGCTTTCTGGCTTCCCAAATTCTGATTTTAAATCTCAAGAGCTGATGCCGGCAGGTCTTGGAGCAATGCTCTTCTGAGTGAGGATGAACGTTCCGTGACATAACAGTGAGCCCTCCTGCCTCCCCAAAAGACCAGTATCCCTGGTTCTGGTGGGAGGGATTGAGGCAGAGCCCAGTCTCAGGGGGTCTCATTGGCTCTGCCTAGCAGATATGGATTGGAACCGGGAGGCCAGTTTATTGGGGCCTGGAGCAGAGGTATTGGGGCTTTAATAGTGAGGCCACTGGACCTGGGAACCTTGTGGAGTAGCCTCCTGTGTGGCCTGAGCCAGGTTAGAGAGGGCGGGACACATGGCCTGGTAAAGAGCCTTAGGGGTAGCCTTGTGGATGGGTTGGGGGGCAGTAGTGAGTGTGGGGATGGATGGGGGGCAGGGAGGGATGGATGTACAGCAGGAGAGTGGGAGGGGCAAACAGCACTGCAAAATATTCCCACACGGAAGTAGAAAGGACAAAAGCTGGGATATCAAAGACACAACTCATGGGCCAGAGTAACAATAGCAGGACAGGCACACACAGAGGGGAGCACAGAGACCTGCCCCAGGTCACTCCAGGAGAAGGTGGAGACTCTAAACAAAGGCAGGCAACTCAAAAGCAGCCAAGTTCTTTTTTTGTTTGTTTTTGAGACAGAGTCTCACTCTGTAGCCCCAGCTGGAGTGCAGTGGCGTGATCTCGGCTCACTGCAACCTTCGCCTCCCAGGCTCAAGTGATTCTCATGCCTCAGTCTCCTGAGTAGCTGGGACTCCAGGCATGCGCCACCACACCCAGCTAATTTTTTGTATTTTAGTAGAGATGGGGTTTCACCACGTTGCCCAAGATGGTGTCCAACTCCTGAGCTCAGGCGATCCAGCTGCCTTGGCCTCCCAAAGTGCTGGGGTTACAGATGTGAGCCACTGCGCCTGGCAAAAAGCAGCTTTTGTTTCTTTCTTTTCAATTCTTGATTTTGATAATGCATACTTTTTCCATTTTTATTTTTAATTGGTACATAATCATTGTACATATTTATGGGAAGCGTGTGATATTTTGATACATAAGTACAATGTATACTGATCAAATCAGGGTAAATGGGATGCCCATTTCCTCAAGCATTTATTGTTTCTTTATGTTGGAAACACTCAAAAGCGCCTCTTAGCTATTTTGAAATATACAATACATTTTTTAACTATAATTATCTTACTGTGCTATTGAACACTGAAACTGAAGTTTCTAGAAGTAAGTTTTAATTCACTTGAATTGGCAAGTTTAAGTGATTGACAGTGTCAGACAGATGGTGACAAGAACTAAATTAAATTCAATCATTCAGAAGAAGAAAATGACACTTTTGTGTACCTGAAGACCCAGTCTGTGGCCTGTCATTCCCTTTATGCATGGTTTTTAAAAGTCTAAATATCTCCAATCCATAATATCTAATATATTAGCAGGATTACAACTTTGTAAGAAAAAAGCAAGCATGCACAAAGACCAGGAAGAGATGAAGGGAAAGGTTTAGCAGTAATTCTCTTCTATGGTGGGACTATGGGTATCTTTCGTTTTCTATTTTCCTTTCTTTTCTAATTTTTCCAACTTAACAGGTATTAATTTATTAACTTTGTTTTTTGATACAGGCTCTCGCTCTGTTGCCCAGGCTAGAGTGCAATGGTGCATTTGACCTCCTGGGCTCAAGTGATCCTTCCACCTCCCACCTATGGTCCTGAGTAGCTGGGATCATAGGCATGTGCCACCATACCTGGCTAATATTTGTATTTCTTAAAGATAGAGGGTCTTGCCATGTTGCCCAGGCTGGTCCTAAACTCCTAGCACAAGTAATCTGCCTGCTTTGGCCTCCCAAAGTGCTGGGACTACAGGCGTGAACCGCTGTGCCCAGCCGTAATTTATTAACCTTTTAAAAATGAAAGGAACACCTGTGCATAGCAGGAAATTCCAATTTTGAAAGTTGAAGGTACAAAAGAACTAAAAATGCAAACAGTGTAGAAGTAAAATTCCTCTCTCCTGAAAGGTATTCATCGTCAGTGGTTTCTTATGATTCCTTCTAGGAATAAATGTGTCTGTGCATTTCCTGAATGGAGCATGTGTTGCTTTTTAAGTGGAAGAAAAAAAACACCTTTCATAAAAAAAATAAAGGGAAACACAGAATTGGAAGGTTTTAGGCTAATTTCCACCTAATATAAGATGTTCCTTTTGGTAGTTAAGAAAACACTTCCTTAGTGTCAAGCCTCTCACTATATGTTTTACGTGAATTGAGGGTGGAATATGAGAGCTACAAAGTTATTCAACAGAACTTTTCCCCAAAAAGAAAACTGCATAATACACAGTTCCTTTTGGAATTCACATGCCAAAGTGTATATGGTAGATTGTCATTTTCTTCTCTTTTTAAAAAATTAATTGTGCTATCTTCCAGAAAAAAACAAATAAGCATGTTGAGGGAAAAAAGTCATACTAACAACACAGATTAGCCAGCAGGGTATGGGGTGGAGAGGAGCGGAGGCCAGGGCCCCCAGGCAGGCATTGCAGAGGTCAAATTCCCAAGGCACTACAAGGAAGGTTCTGAAATGCAGCTGTGGCAATTAGGAAGATGCACTGGGCCGGGACCACTAAGACAGTCATTAATCAAGAAGATGAGGCTCTGATAGCTAAGAGAATAGGAGGAAGGTTTGGGACTGGCTGGGAGAGCCTGGAAGGTAGACTCAGAAGACTTTGCCTCACAACGCCTCCAGGTTGGACTCGGGAAGCAAAGTGATTGACACATCTCCTCTCCCCTGGACTGTGCTGCCTGCCCTCTGTGATGTATTCTACACACCACAGGCTTAGACTGTGAATTATTTTTATGGTCATGCGAATTTGCTGGGCAGTAATGAAATGAAACAAGAGCTGAAATTTAGAGAAAAATGGAAAGGGGAGTGTGAAGGCAATTTGGCCAATATACCCCAGCCAAGAGAAATCATCATTTGGGTTTTATGAGATGGCAGGGAAGTGGGATGGCTATCCTGATGATTACTGCATGCGAGTACTGCACCAAAGTCAGGGTCTCAGATACAATGTGTGATCTTGGACACCCCTAACATTTCTATTGTGTTGAGGTAGAAAGTGAAATAAAACACTAACAGAGAGCCTCCCTTATGAAAAATGCTGCCTTGCATTTCAAGTACGTGTCAGGCACTCGGGAGCTCTTTTGTGTTGTGAAATGTAGCACAAGATGCTCTCCCTCCCACATTACTGGAAACCAAGCATGTGACTGTTTAAAAAAATTAATCCAAAGGAGTCTGATTGCATTTATTCTTATCATTAAACTCTTACACAATAGACATATGTGACCATATATTAGAAAATTTATAATATTTAAATGGCACACGAAATGACTACTTGCTAAATTATTAAAACAAAGAATAGTATAATACGTACTCTCTTCCATAATATTTTGGTCTGTTTTCCACCTGTGTTAAAAAGAACAAAAATTAATAATGCATTTGAATTCAAATCAGCTAGATAAAAATGCTACTCAAATAAACGGAACTAGGGTACTGGTAGGAATTTTGTTACAGATTATATTCTCCAAATCAGAGATCCATGAAGCTCTGGAGTTAATTAGCACATTTCAGTATCACGTAGGAATGATCTAGAATCACCACGTCTCCAATCAATAGGCTCATTTTCCACCCAAACCCAATCCACCAAGAAGAGATTTTCAACAAAAACAAAGTGATGCTTATTTTAGTATTAAAGAATTTGCAAGGATATTAGAAGGTTTCATCTTGAAGGATAAAACAATGGCTTCTGTCATGAATAAAACATGAGCATTTATTTCACTCTGTGCCTATTTGTTTTTATGTATTTATAATTAAAACAAGGAGTCTACCTGGATTAAAAAATAAAGCAGGCTTAACTTGATCACGTTCCACATAAAATCAATATTCTAACATTCTTGTTTTTTCAACATGTGGCTAACAAGCTGAAATTCATTTGACACCAGAGGTGCAGGATAGAGAGAACAAGATTTATGACTTGGCTAAACACAAACATTCCAGAAAGGTTTTTCAATCACAGCTTTAGCCTGAGGTTATCACATTTTTCTCACGTATGTGATCATCTACTTTCATAAACGCTTTGTGTTCTCATGTTGTGATGTTGGAGTTGGTGAGAAAGTAACATGAATTCTCATGTTCCACTTTTGTTCTTCTCACCTAACTCCAGGGACACTTGTAAAGCCACATTAAGTTATGGATTTGTATGAACGGTTATATGTATGACAACAAGTTTATGTTGATTCACTGTTGTAGACTATGAGCTTGGCAGAGATTTTATTCACAGTCATTTCAACTACCAGAGTCACATTCCTAGAGTCAAATGGACAGTTTTCGCAGCACGGCTCAGGGACAGACACAGTGGCAGGATTTCACAACAGGGGCAGTGTCCTGGCCTAGCTCCATCCTCCAAGGGATGCAGATCTGAATAGGTAGCAGGACACTAGGAACTAAGGGAAAAGGATCAGAAGGGCAGAGCCGGGCCTTGGGGGACCACACTCACAATGCTGCCTAGAACGAGCCTTGCTATACAAAACCTGTCATCTAGACACTTCTAAATATGCATTCACTCTTCTGTGCATTTTACACCTGAAAATTACTCAAACAAGCAGGACATCCATAACTTAATCTTCAAGGTTCAAAGCCTGCTCGGTGTCATTTGTGAAGGAAGATTTAAATAGTATCATTAATAGAAGCAGAAGGTGTGTGAAAAGGCACCTAGTTATCTGATATCCTTTCTATAAATGATGTGTGCCATTATTCCACAGGCTGGTAAGCTTTGTAATGAGAGTTGAATATTTTGTCATTTATATCATTCTTTTGGCTAAGTTCTTTTTTAGTTTTCTACTAGTATACATGTGTGACTGTAAAACCAACAAGTCAGAGAAGAAATTTAGGACTAAAAAAGCCAGTGAAAGCTGATGATATAGAATAGCAAAATCTCCATTCTTTGAGAGGCGATATTCCAAAATTTAAAGTGATTCGCTATATAGGAGGCCAATTTTTTATTTCCATCTTTTTGGCTGAACCACAGCACAAGTTTTCAAACTCCGGGTGTAGCTCTCAACCCTATTCCCTTCCTGTATCTTCTTATTTTCCTAAAAGGAAGAGTTAGTAACCTAACTTCCCAGATGAGCAGCCTGGTAATAGAGCCTACTACTGCCTCTTGGCATGCAGGTAAATAGTTAATAAATGCTCAATTTAATTCATTCTTAACAAGATAACAAATTGCTTTCAGTTCATCAAGCAATCATAAAAATATACAGCATGCTTATTATGTTCGGGGCTCTATGCTCAGGCCAGCCATTGTGCATGAAGTAATGACCTTGCAGGTGCAGAGAGGAAAGGTATAAGGTGCTCAGGGGGGTTCTGCACTTGCAGCAGAAGGGAAATGCTTATGGAGAAATCTAACATAGAACCCCAGAGGGAAGTTGATATTCAGGGTGCCTTGAAGGATGTCGAATAAGATTCTGCCCAGAGGCAAGTTTGATTCAAATGAGGGAAAAATCTTCTGCATATGAAAACCACTAGAAAATAAGAGCCCTGAATTGTATGGGATATTAATATATGATTCCTTATATATCTGAAATTTAAATGTAACTAGGCATCCTGGTCCCTCCCTCCCTCCCCTCCTCCCTTCCTCCCACCTTCCCCCTTCCCTTCCCTCCCCTCCCCTTCCCCTCCCTTCCTTACTTTTCTTCCCTTCCTCCCTCCCTCCCTCCCTCCCTCCCTCTTTCCTCCACTCTCTCTTTCTTTCTTTCCTAAATCTGGCAACCCTATATAGGGGAGACGAAAGACAGAAATAAGAGAGAGTAAAGACAGAGGATGTGGTTGGCATCCGATCACTGCTTCTACTGGCCGTTTTAATAGCAATCCAGTATCTCTTTCCTTTTTTGTCTCTGAAGCTCTTAAAGAAAATATATGTGTCCAGTGTCCTTGTGAATGTCAGAGAGAGTCGGGGGAGAGAGAGAGAGACTGGAATCAAAAAAACAAAATCCTCTTCTTTTTTTAAACTTTTTGCTTACAGGTGTCTAAACACAGTCTCTCTTTCTATATTCCACTAAGCTTTAAACCAGTCAAGAGCTTAATGTTTAAGCTAAATGATGCTAGACAAATCATACAATGGCCACATTTCTTCAAGGTGGATAATACTGGATCCTCAGATCAAGACAGAACAGGTGGCTAGGGGATAGGGCTCATGGGGACAAGGGCCTGCCAAGAGACTAGGAATGGCTGTGCTGGGCCCCAGCAGTGCCTTAGAGAAGCCTGACTCACTCCTGGGGCAAGGCTCCATGTCAGCCATCAGTGGAAACCAGAACCCACCAGTGAAATTGAATTTGTTTAATGAAAGAAATTGTAGCTCGCAATTTCTGTTTCCAATTGTACGAGATTCTCTCGTACAGGTGTGAAGGAGACAGGACAGTCGGTAAATAAAAGGTAAGGCAACTCAGAAGATCTTGCATTTTCATTGAAAACTATGTTTGTCCAAATCAGGCAACTTAATAAAAAAATTTATGTGGTCACATAGATTCAGAAAGGAATGCAAAGTGCAATATATCCTGACATGAATGAAGGTTGGTTCTGGAGCTTCCCTGCCACTGGGATTATCCTGGAACAGCAGCTGCAGCTGGTCAATCCATCATCCGATGAACCTGGCCTTTGTGAATATGACTGACAGCTGTTGGATCTGCCATGTCTGCTCTTGGGATTTAGTGCTCTGAGTCCAAGAAGTAAAAGCAATTCATTCTTTTTAAGAGAAAGAAAATATGTAGTCATGTTAGATGAATTACTAGATCCCCTAATACTGGGTCCTTAGATAATCCAGCTGGCTCAAAGAGGGACCCCTCTCTTTACAGAAGGAGAGCACCAGGTAGGTCACTGAGTGAGAAAACACACGAAATGAGTCCTTCCCAAGGCACAGGGGGTTTCAGCATATGTGGTGTGACCATGCAGAATGATGGCTGCTTCTTTTTAAAAATAACACTGAACATTTTATTCTAAATAAGCATCATCTACAAGGAAAGAGTCCCCCTAGTAGGCATGATACTTGCCATTTATATCTCTGTTGACCAGAACATTTTTGGAATTTATCTTTTGGAATTACCTAAGATATACCACCCTTTCTTGTGAATATCCTTAAAGGTATGCTTCTCGAAGTGTGGACTGGTCATTCAAAACAGAAACTTCAAGATGCTTGTTGAAAACTGCAGACAGGATCCCCATCTAGGACTAGCTGAACCAAAATCACTGAGGGTAGGGATATGATGTGTAATTTAATCAAGCCCCTGGATGATTTTAAAGCATATACGAAAGTCAGAATCACTGTATGCAGAAATATACATAGATTTGTTTTTTTGAGCATGGATTTGAGAGAGCATGTTATTTCAGCAAACAGGCATACATTATTTGGGCTTGAGACCAGTAGGTAAATGGGGTGAGTGATCAAACTAGTACATTTGAGACAAAAATGAGGTATGATCATAAGATAAGACTCTCACTGTGACTTGCTCTGAAGGAATTTTAGAAGAGACGTTCCCAACGTGCTCTGAGCAATGGGAACTTGGCAGAAATCAAAGCAGAGCTTCCCAAGATGACTGATGGGAAGGGACCATGCTCATGTAATGTGTTAAAATAACATCTATGTTATGACTTTACAGTTACATCTCAAGTATAATTAAATTGTTAGCACTGTGACTACTGGAGATGGGCTCAGTCTTGTCCCTACTATCCACAGTCCACACATGGTGCTCCTGTGTACGTGAGGCTATGCCAATGTTATGCTTTCAGCTAATGGCCTCATTGCCCAATGTTCATGCTCTGCACTCATCAAACCAAATGACTTGCAGTTCCATAACGGTTTGCCCTCTGACATGCCCATCATTTTTATGTGATCTTATTTTAAGATCCTGAATTCTCTCTCTCTCTTTTTTTTTTTTTTGAGATGGAGTCTTGCTCTGTCGCCAGGCTAGAGTACAGTGGAGTCATCTCAGCTTGCTGCAACCTCCCACTCCCAGGTTCAAGCGATTCTTCTGCCTCAGCCTCTCGAGTAGCTGGGATTGCAGGTGCACGCCACCACAGCCTGCTAATTTTTGTATTTTTAGTAGAGACGGGGTTTCACCATGTTCACCAGGATGATCTCGATCTCTTGACCTCATGATCCACCTGCCTCAGCCTCCCAAAGTGCTGCAATCACAGGCGTGAGCCACCGCGCCTGGCCCTGAATTCCCTTTCAAACGAGGCAGATCATTATGTGAGTTAAGAGGGCAGGCTCTGGACTTAAACTGCCTTGCCTTGAGGCCAGATCTGTGGGAATTTAAGCAAGTTATCTATATCTATACTCCTCAGTTTTCTTATGTTTACAATGAGAATGATAATAAAAGTACCTGCTCATGGGGTTGTTGTAAGATCTAATG